ATATTTTTCGCAGACTAGGAATAAGATTAAAAAATCGGGTATTTTTTAATTTCTGATTGTAAGTCTAGTTTTTGTCGACATATTGGTGCAAAAATGGCATTTTTTGACATTTTTCTCACAAAATTACCCATAATTCAAAATTGAGGCCATTTTTCAAAAATCCCTAAAACACGATTTTCGGGACAACCGTGGCAGTCATTTTGAGCCGTAAATGGAGTATGTTTGACTCTCCATGTTTCCAGGTTTGAACGAGTTTTGGAGACATGTCATATCGCCAGAAAGTGTGCATTGTGTTATTCATACAGGTGTAAAGAATCATTACAGTATTCAAGGTCACCCAAGGATACGACAGTAGCTTCGCTACATGTTACATACCCACCAAAAATTATAGCGGACATGTGCTGTCCAGGAAACTGTTTGTATCTATAGAAAAGTGTTGTTTTTTATCTGTTGCGAGGCATTCAGGCAGAAGGGCTTGTTTTGCCGCTTTATTGTAAATGACCGCAGGTGACCCCGAAATAGAACGCGGGTTCGATTCGAATTGCCCAGATCGAACACGATCGAACACAGTTCGGGTTCTATGACATGTGGGAACTTTTCAGCCCAGATTTTACCACCGTGATTTTTACTGAATAGGTCCTTCATGTACAAATCATCATCATTAATCAAAGTCCGTTGTACATTTTTCACGTACTATGCACTGTGCATCTTGGGGATTTCCTAGGAATGAAATGTGCCTAGAAGACACAACCCTTTTATTTCAATTCCAAGCAAATGATCCGAGTTTCATTCACGTTTCAAGTTTCATTCACGACTTCCAATATTGACTGATTTAGTCGCTATAAAGAAATATAAAAACAAAAACATAATGATGCCCTGGCTTGCTGCCTGCATCTATTTCCCACTAATTTTTTTTTAAATTTGACTTTATAGTTTACACCCAAAGAGGCCCTCAAAAGAAAAAAATAAAATTGATGCATGGTCATAGCCTTTAGGGCTTCGGAGGCAACTGAGAGTAGAGATTGGCCAAATAGTGAGATGACACGCCAGGGGAGTTTTTCCGCCAGAAAGTACATTTTGCCGCTCCTCGGGTGCTAGAGAGTACATTGGTGCTAGAGAGTACACTTCGGGTGCGGCAAAATGTACTCTCTAGTGCATCTAAATCCCCTGGCATGTCATCTCTCTATTTAGCCAATTTCTACTCTTTCCAGCCGCCTCCTAAAGCCTGGTAGAGGCTAGCATGATCCTCTCGTTTCTGAAACATGTCCCCCGTGAACACTTTCATCAAGTAGATAATGTCTTTCTATGCAAACCCCCCACTGGTTTGTCGTTTGAGCGACTCTATGAATGATGTGGCATGCTGCTGATGTATTGCTTTGTTAGAGGTTTCGGTAATACCTGTTGATTCTCAAGGCGCCACACAGTCTAACCATCCTTGAAACAAGTTACTAAAAGGTAAATCTTACTTTTAATGATAAATTTCCATCAACAGACGTTCACCTTTATTCAGACATTTGAAAAGTACTAGTACTCCTTTGTGACAGTATGAAAGATTGAAACTTATAGTGTCAAACAAAATTATGTATTTGATGTTTTCGAGTTTTCTTATACGTAATGTAAAGAAATTATGTTCAATCCAACAAAGTTACTTCTCATCAACATACTTTTACCTATTTGCCGACAAATATCTACTTCTTCTTTGTGACGTGACAGTATAATATATTGAAACTAATAGTGCCAAACAAAAGTGGGTGTTTTGATTTGTATTGTATCAAAATTACTAGTATGTCAACAAGAGATATTAGACAAGACTATGGAATTGCATTGTTAAAATTACTTTTTGAATTATTCATTGCAAACTACCAAAGGCCCCACGTAGCGTTGATCTGTGTACAGTTAAGCCTTACAAAATCGTGTCTACTGCGATAAAATCTAAATCCAATCTCGGTATGAAACCAGCATGTGTAACATCTAACTCTCTCTGGCTGTAATAGTGCGTGGATGATGGATTTTGTACAGCCGTAGATCTTTGAAGGTGGAAACTGATGATAAGATACAGCCGCAATCCTTCCCCTACCTCAGTACATTACTCCTTATATCCATGCAGGGAACGTCTAACAACTTCCTCCGGTGTTATATGTCTTTGACACACTGTATTAGAGTGTGCACATGAAAGAATGTTAATAAAAGGAATTTGCCGTATTACCATATTGAATTCTCTCTCTAATTCAACTTTTATCATCCAATCTTTTTAATTACATGCAATTGCTGTTATCGGAAGCTCGAAGACATTAATGAATTCGAAGCAGGCGTTTTCGTCACAAAACATCGTCAGAGCCAAACAATTTAAGATAAGGATCGCAACCAGGATAAATCGATAAAATCGCTCAATATTTTTCTTCGCAGGCATTACCAGCATGCGGCTGAAGGAAGCGACCATGTAATGACGCCAGCACAGGGATAATACTTAAGATACTTAGGATTAGGACTTAAATCCAGCTGATGAATTTGTTAACATATTCCTCAGTACGATTTTGCTACTGCAATAACCCGTTATTTCTTTATTAATATCTATTCATATTTTTTTTCGTTTAGCAATTTCAATAGGCCAGTGAGAAGCAGGAAATGTTATGCCATGTTAGTATCGGATGGGCATGTTTTTTAATGTTTTTTATGTTTACCGAAGGAAAACATATTGTTTTCGCTTAGTTTATTCTTTTTCATCTTCTTCTTCTCCAAACGATGAACAAATTCTGTGCCTGATGCCATGGTAACTAGTGTTAGGTTCATTTTCAGGTTCGTGCACAAGCTACAATTGGTCACGTACAGTACTGCGGCTGTGTTCAATAACAGGATAAAATTTTCCGGACGTTAAGGCCAAGAAGCTTTATCTCACGGGAGGAGCTTTGAAGGTCTACCGTTGATCCTCTTTATTGGATTTACGACTGAACACAGCTTCACATTATACCTCATCCCTTCTGCACGATCTATCATTAAAAAACTTACATTGAATGCCATGTACTGTAACCTTGACTAAACGGCGGACACGAATCATAATTGTGCAAGTTTGTAGTTAGCGCTCAAGCTCACAAAAACGCTCTTTTACATAATTGCCCAGTCGCACGATATGCAAGTCTTGTTACACTATGTGATGTCAAATAAGCCATAAAGGGCAGATATGATATTGTAGTAATATGTAAAGGTCATATTTTTATCACAGTAACGGTTGAAGTATTGCAAGTTAAATGAACAAACCTAGCAAATGGCCACGGATAAAAGGAATAGCGTAAATTGAAAACTTTTATTATTGAACTTTTATTATTATTAAAATGTTTGCATTATTTGAGCGAATAGTGTAACACAAGATGTACAAAAACCGTATTTTGCTCATTTCATATTCCAATAGCTCTTTACTGGTTGAATCTACCAAATCAAAGGTAAATAAGTGGCTTTTGTTTGGAATTAAAGGAAATCAATGCAAGAAGCCAGGAACAGATTTATATATCAGTGATTGGAACACAGTGTGGCACACACGTCACTATAAATGACCTTAAGCTATATAAAGTACTGGCCGCATTAGAAGCTCTAAATTTTTAACGTAACCAGTTGACGTATGTGCAGAAAGTGACCCTGAAAAGGCGGTCGCTGGCAATGTCAGATCAAGATCAGCTATTCAGCACTTTGAGTTTGAAAGCATCGGAATAGTTCCGAGAAAAACACGCACAGTCCATCATGGAAATCATAAAAAATATGTGTTATAGAATGCCTTACTACTTGTTTTTTATTGCAGATCGTTGACGATACTTGATATTGTTTTTTTAGATGAATTCAGCCGACGAATGACTTATCATTACGTAGGCCTACTACAAGCTAATCCGTATATCAAATATCATTTCAATACCTCTATAAATTATGGATATGAAAGCCACGATAAAAATCCCTGACGAATGAAGCTTCCTCGGGCTTATACATTGCCCAGACGTCAAAAGTAATGCTATACAATATAACAATATACGCCAAAAAACCGTTACTCAAGCAACTGGATATGATTTTGGAAACGGTCAGATATTGCAGGTAGCATCCACTACCTTTCGTCATTGACACTAGAGACTGCAAGAGAAATGCAGGTTTATAAGCACACAGTGTTTTGGGCGTATCTTATTACCTGGATGTCTAACCTTTACCGACGTAACATGCAATATAGCTATACAATTTGATAGCTGCTGGTATAGTTTGTTCTTTATTATTATTAATAAAAAACAATAACTAGACGGGTAATTCTATATCAATGCCATTCTCTTTATGTTTCTAATTTCAGTCGTTTCTTTCTTTATTCATTTCTTATCTCATTTCCTAACCCCTAACTGACTCCCTCCTAAAAAGCCAGATAGTATTTTATTAAGGCCTTCGATAAAACAGTAATTTTATTTAACTGTTTATGTTCAAAACTAAACGAACTGTCAATTTTCAGGATGGCCGTTCGGTTACGTGATGTGTAAGCTGTCATCTCCTGTAACAGTCATCTCTGCCGGCGCTTCCGTCTTCACGTTGATTGCCATTGCAGTAGACAGGTAAGTCAAGAAAGAGTATATTTCCTCATATTTCATATAATCAAGCTATTATGCGTTGTAACCTTATTTCATTTTGTCATCCTTACGCTTTGCATGTCTGTATTTGTTTTGATATATTCTTAATCTTGTAATCTATTAATCTCTTAATCTTGTAATGTTCTTTGTTTTAAAGACGACTCAAGCATACGCCATGAGCTTGAGTATGTCGTCGTCATCTTGGCATGTTATTAAATGTTGTAATGAATAAAAAAATAGAAAAAAATATCAACGCTTAAAAATAAGTTTTGCAATCGGCAGAAATTTACCTTTTGCAAGTCTAATTCAAAATCCATGATAAGATTAAGACCAGAGGGCCGTTAAAACATGCATGTGTTTTAATTTGATTTTAATACACAGTAAAGTAATATAGAATGCTAAGATAAATGCGTAAATGACAGGACAATTCAGTACCCGATCTAGGGCATTGCAAATCTGTACATGCGTCACAAAAAATGAATAAACCGTTATTATTGAATTTAATTTCACAGTTACCACGCAAATTTTGTACATGTTATATGGTACGGTAAACCTGCATATATTTTGCTCCGTCAGCAGTAGTGATGAAAGTCTAACGCATCTGTCCTTTAGGCCACTATGGATCGATGTAATTGCTTTTCTCACCCGAAAGCAACCTACTACTTTTTCAGTTAAAGATAATGCTGTAGGGTCACATGAGAAAATTGATTTAATAAGTTATAAAGAGCCACGAAGATGTTATCTGCGAAGCGCCATTACAATGAACTTGAGGAGAGCATAGGCTATTTCAGAATGTTTATTATTCTTTAATGTAAAATATGACTTTCAATACTTTACAGAAAATGAAATACCGGGTGACATATGAGATAAAGGGGACAATGCACGACCATTTCCACTTTTAAAATCAAATGAAAAACATCTGACATCTGATCCCTCGATGATGACAAATTGGACTGAACTATGCATTTGCACATTTCGTTATTATTATTATTATTGTTATTGGTACTGTTGTTTGTACGTGACTTAATGTATTTTGTTTTGTGTAATACAGCGTCCCACTGAAAATCAGTGTCATCACTATGTAGGAAACCTGTTTAGATATGAAGTAAAAAGATTGATGCGTGCTGTCCATGGGTCAATAAAGCACAGACATCTGTGCTGAGACTGATAACGCTACTGACAATTACTGATGTTCTTTTAACGACCAAGTCGTTACATAATAAGCCAAAGCTACTATTCATGCAGCCCACATCACTTCCTGTAACTTACAAAACGCCTTTTAATTTCCACTGAAATTGAGGAGGTTGAAGTGAAATCTTAGAATGCATATTTCATCACACATTCATTTTTTATTCATATATATTCATTATAGAGTTTAAGAAGCACCGTTGCTTATATGACGCCTTCTAATAAACAACATAAAACGAAAGTAAAACACAAGGACAATACATAATCAGAATGGGTAAAAGAAACATGATCATAAACAAGACAAATTGGCGAGCTATCAATTATGAGAATCTACCTGCACACTAGTGCACAGTAAGTAAAGGTCTGAACTACATCGAAGACATTGCAGTTTTTTGAATGTAAAACCTTACTTGCAAATAACTTTCCAATCACGGTACATTACAATAAATGCCACGTAATTCGTGACTGGCCCTAGAGGCTTGTTGCAAAAAATCATTTTACGCATACTCTATGTGCTACGCTTTGGTCTCCGTGAGCTTAGTTTTAAATGTCATTCTTAATGCATAACGGAATTTGTTGAGGCTGTAGATTATAAGATCGTCATAAAAGTCGTCACTGCCTGTGTGTGTATCTCGCGGGAGTTTTAATCAAGATGACTTATTACAAAAGAACCTTATCAAGGACTGCCGTAATAAAGAATAAATCTGAGGATTTAGTGGCTTTCTCGTTCACCGATGAATCCGATAAAGTAATTCAAGATTGCTTCCTGAATTACGGTCGGAATGTGGGATCTCGTGGCGTAACGGTGGAATGTTCGTCTCGGAGCCAAGAGGTCCTGGGTTCGAAACCTGCCTTGTCACAGATCTTATGCCCTTGGAAACGGCCCTTTCTCAAATTTCCTCACTTGATTTAGGGGAAAATGACTACTGTGTAACTATTTGTGTTGTCCTCTATGTTGGTAGTAGCATGAATATAAGTTGAAAAAAATTGATAAAATGTTGAAATAAACGGTCGGAATCCTCAGGGAATTTATCTGGTAGTTTTTTTTCCCACCTGGCTGCCCAACGTTTATCGACGCATCAAGAACTACATATACAGTTACAGCTGGTTCGATGGCGTGCAATAGGTCGTACAAGGACGTGACATCAGAGAAAGCCAAATGTCAATGCGTGGGAGTACGCGCTGCTGTAAAATTAAACAGGCGGACGGAAGAGGCTGCCAAACTTTTGAAGACGACCATGTTTGAACAAAAAGCTTACCGCCACGTCGTTCAGGCGAAAGTAATCAAATAGTTTGGACTGTCTGTATGTACGAAGAAAGAAAATGATGAGCAAGGACATTATCGCAAGAAAAACGCACATTGTATATTGTATGGCAAAGTACAAACAAATAATGCATTGAATACGACCTACGTGTGTAATGTATACGGGCTAGCACAACTCTTCGATTGAGTGTTACAATCGTGTTTCCGTATTTTTCTAATAAAAAAATATTTATATTTGTTTGCATTGTGGTAATCACTGCATGAAAATATTTATTGAAATCTGTCTCTAGCATCGAGACTCTTGAAATCTGTTGTATTTGATTTGAGAAATTTAAATAGCTTGTTACGTAAGGCATTATATTTAGTACACTTCGTGTAAAGTTTATCTTCAATATGCTTTGGACAAAATATTTGAAATACAATACCCACGTTTCGTGACCACACGGCACTATCGATGCATGCATAACCATTCTGTCGATAGGTCAAGACCTAACCGTACATCCAATTTGTACTTATTGCGTCATGCAGTTCACCGCAAGCATCGCAAAGGCCACTAGAACATTCATAGTGAAGGTGGCAATATTCATTCATTTAATAAATGAATGAATGAATGTTAGTTTATTATTGTGCATTGCGACTGCATGCTACCTATCTCAAGTGTGCTTATAAGAGACCAGCAAAAGAAAAACGTCATAAAACAAAAACGGTACAGGGTCGAATCAAATAAAATCGTCCGTAGTTACTGCCGGCTACCATGGACTACGGAGGATGGAACCCAGGCCAGGGTCTTAATGAGGATGTGATTTTTAGAACAAGTGAAAATCAACGCGTGGATGTCATCCAAAAATTAAATCAGGGTGGCCTAACTCCCCTCTGCTATCAGTTTTAACGTTATAGACGCCTGTCAGGAATCCTCGACTCGCCAGTAAAGATCCTTCTCCACACAACGTGAACACATCACATATCAGTGCGGTCGTTAAAAGGTTGGCAAAATACCACGGACACCTTTTAAACCACTCAGTATTTATACCACAGGTAAAACCAACATCGTAAAGCAGACCTTTACTGCTATTTAGGCTCCATCCAATTATCTTGCGTCCTTAACTGCCAATCACTATGTATTCCTAAAGCCCCTTTGGGCATTGTTCGAAATAAAAGGCTGATCCGTTTGTGGAATGGGACGTTTGGGAAGAGGAATTGAGGATTATCAATCAATCTAACGGTGATGAACGAGTGTCACAATAGACATTCAGGCCAACAGCAAGTAATTTTGATGGATGATATCAACGGGCGCATTAATTTTCATCTCATTTTAAAAAAAGAAACAAAAAAATTGTTGACAGTGGTCAACATGCCAAAAATGCCAAAGATGTCTGACTTCATGTTGATGACAGATAAATATGAAGAAAGGAGACAAGACAAGGCTCTAAATTATTGTTTTGTCTTTTACTTTGATGCAGTGATGTATTTCAAGAAAAAAGGGCAAAAATGACCCCACCGAATAAAAACCATTTGTTTTTGAATTTTTATTTTCCAAACCTGCTCCAGTGACAAATAGATGTTATAAATATAGCTGGCAGTAAACTAACCACAATATATGTATATCAATTCCTGCTAACAAGGTTTATGATGTCAACATTTGAAAATGCAGGAATCTTTTTTCGGGGGGGGGCGCCTTCTTTTTTTCCCTATCTCATTAGACTTGGAGTCTGCAGAGGATGCCATCCATAAAATTTACTTGCTGTGACCCAATGCTAAGAAACAAGGATAAGGCTGATAAATCAAATACTCTCCGTAAAAAGAAGAAAGTGCACACCTGGTAGTCCTCATTCTACTTGATTTCCAAGTCGGTGAACATAGCATCGATACACTAGAGTTTCATTAGCTTCTAAAAGCGTTAACCAAACCATGAACACATAAAAGCAATACACTTGAGTTCCATTAGGTTTTAAAACTGTTCACCCAATGGATCTTTACGTTGTAGAAGGCTGCCTATAGTGTGCATAAACAATTCCCGTCAACTGCGCAGATCTATAGGATAGGATTTGGTGGCTTAAGTCTGACTTTGAAGATTGCAAAATGATCAATGATGTCCTCCTCATCAAGATTACGGAGGAGGATTTACAGTCCTTTACTGTGTTGATGCCCAACAGAGTACTGCCTAATCTTTAATTTGATGAACTTAAAAAGTGCACTTTGTGATCAGCACATAGATAATATCAATGAGCCATATTATGATAAACTTCTTACTTACGATTATGATATACTGATAGAGCAATCAACATTCCTTTAGGAAAGTTACAATGTAAGGATGCGATTACTTAGAAAACGTTGCCTTCAAGAAATATGACGTAACTGGACAACGGCAGTTTATAGTAGCCCTCGTCCCGGTTCAATGAACGTTAAGGAATTCCGACAAACCTATAGATACATGCATGTTATGTTTATCAAGTGATGCATTATATCTATGACGTGTTTAATTGAAGATAAGTAGGAAGTTAACTTGTCATGCGCCAAAAAGCAGTTACTCAAGCAAC